ACCAATCAACAGTTTGTTGCAATCATTTAGGCATGAGGTGATAAGTTCTTGCACTAGGGTGGTGGCAATGTTAGAGGAGAGAAGGGACATATAACATAGGTAAAATTGACAGGACTTGGAAATACAATGGAAATGAAAGGTGTTAGAGAATGAGGATTACAAGATGATACCTAGTTTGTAAGCCTAGCTGTTTGTGCAGCCAGGTGGCTCAGTAGATAGAGTGCCAGGCTTGGTGTCTTGGGAAGACTTAACTTCCAGAGTTCAAGTCTGGCCTCAGACATTCACAAGCTACGTGACCCTGGGCAAGTCATTTAACCCTGTTTGCCTCAGTTCCTTATCTGTAAAATAAGCTAGAAAAGGAAATGGCAAACCACTTCACTATCTTTGCTAAGAAAGTCCCAAATGGGCTCACAAAGAGTTAGACACAACTGAAATGACTGAACAACAATGAAAGTGACGGTTGTAGGATGATACGTAGTTTGTAAGCCTACATAACTGGGAATATGATGATATTCTTAATAGTTATCAGAAGTTAGCAAAAGAAGAGGGTTTGGGGAGAAAGTAATGAATTCAGTTTTGGACATGTTGAACTTGAGACGTCTACAGGACATCCAGTTCAAAGATGTTCAATAGGTGATTGGAGATGTGAAACTGGGGGTTAGCATATAGGTTAGATCCTGATAAGTAGAGTTGAAAATCATCAGCATAGAGATGATAATTCAATCTATGGGAGCTGATGGGATCACCAACTGAAATAGTATAGAGCAGAAGGGAAAAAGATCCAGGACAAAGTGTTGTGGACACAAGTTCATGACCTGAATGAAGATCCAGCAAAAGAAATTGGTCAGATAGATAGGAAGAGAACCAGCAGAAAGTAGTCATGAAAACCTATAGAGAAGAGAGTATCAGGGAGAAGAGTAATCAACAGTGTCAAAAGCTTCACAGAGGTCAAGAAGGAGGTTTGAGAAAAGGCCATTCGATTTAGTAATTAAAATTTTGAGATATACAATAGACAGAGATATGAGACTGCAGGTTAGCAGAGAGGTTGGGGCAGGATAAATGATCTGGGAATCATCTTCATAGATATGATAATTGAATGCATAGAAGTTTCACTCAATTTATGGCATAATTCCACAGATACAAAATTTCCTTTAACAGTAAATTGGAATGGCTCTATCCAATGGCTTTTTTTTTTAAGCAGAGAAAAAAACATTTGTCATATTTCAATTTCTGATATATGTGTGTGTGTGTGTGTGTATACACACACACATCCTCCTTTACATCCCTCATGCTGAAGACTATTTGACATATTTCAAAGTTTGCCATATATATGTATGTATGTATATATGTATATATGTATGTATGTATAGACACACACATATTCCTTTACATCCCTCATGCTGAAGACTATTAGCTCTCTACCTGCCATGAAGAACATTATCAGGTGAGATTACCTCTTAGCCTACAAAATAACTGCATTTCTATTTCAGTTTCTCTCCTGTAATTGAACACACTATCTTATCTTTCCATTACTGGGAGGAAGAGGTCATAACTGCTATTTTTACAAGACAGATGATGCAATTTGTCATGTAGTTGACCTTTTTAAAATTGTCATATTTTTTCATTGATTTTTTTCTAGTTAATTTTAATTAATTTTTGAAGTAGTAACCAGGGTGATACAACATTGGAGGATTTGAGAATAATCTTAAGTGTTAAACTGGAAAATACCTCAAACATACTAGATGGATCTGTCTTCCAAGCCTTGAGAAGAAATTTGCAAGAATTATGGAAAACACCCTACAGCTGTTGTTGAGAAGCAATCTTGTGCCAGTCAGTAGAATTGGCATTGAATTTGAAATCAAAAGAGCTAGGTATGAGTCTTAACTCTAAAATTTACTATCTGTATGATTGTAGATATTGCTTAACTTCTCTGCACCTTAGTTTCTTCATTTGTAAAAATTGAGCTAATATTATCTTATTTCACAAGGTTGTTGTAAGAGCTAGGTTAGATAACTTAAATGAAGTGCTTTGTAAACCTAAAAGCAATATATGAACAGCAGCTATTTTTTATAATGCCAAATAGTTGCACTTTGAAAATTATCTGGTTTAGAGAATAATAGCAGACTACTCTCTGAGGGATACACAGCTTCCACGACCAAGGTTTGTATTTATTCTGGGAGGAAAAAAAATCAGACTCCAGATCCATTTGAGTCTTCTTTTCCTCCTTCATCTTCTTAGTGCAAGTCTCCACTTGGTGAGGCTTGTGTAGGGAAGCAGGGATAAATCTTGGAAAAATTGGAAAGTTTTCCTCATTCTTTCTTATATCCTTTCTACATTGTGGGGCTTAAGGGACCAGGGCTCCATAATCTGGAAAATCTGCATAAAATTTTTGGCCCTGCATTCAAACCAGACAAGTATGACTTTTTTCTTTTTCTTTTATGGGCTGTTTATAGTATCTTAGTGTAAAATTTGGGTTGTTATTATGCAATTATATATATATATATACACACATATGTATGTATACATATATTATGCATTTCTGAGTTTCTAAACTTTTTTTTCTGTGTCATCTGCTGGCCTTTGTGTGTCATCTGCGACTTCCACAAAATTCCCCCAATTCCCATTTAATTTTCTATGCTGACCTGAGATATATCAAAACTGCAATGGGGAAAGTTGCAATGTGGAAGGGACAACTGTATTCTCACTTTCTTAGACCCCACCTTAAGATGCTCTCAGGAATGGATATGAAACAATTATTTATGTTTCCCTTTGTGTGAATACAGTCCCAGTGATTCTTCATTTAGGGAAATCTTCATTCAAAGGGTAAGGAGAGTGGCAATTAAATCAATCAATTATTCTCCCCACCTTACTTAAAGTAACTACCTTAATCAGGTGAGAACTGACTATTTAACCAACCAATAAATCAAACAAAGGTGTTAAAGGAGGTGGGAAAAGACCTTAATTAATTGAGAAGGAGTGAAAGCCATTGGATGAAATGAAGTGATACTATTACAATGGAAATATGTTCAGATTGACTTAAAGATATTGTCATTCCCAATAACTTGTAGCTAAAATAGAAATCTAGCTTAGAACCCAGACATTTGAATGTTAGATTAGGCTAAGTGAGAAAGTAGTTCCAATCAAGCCACTGAAAAGGAGTCACTTGATGGACTGAGCAGAAGAAAACCTTTTTCTCCCTCTCTCTTTGACAATCTTGTGAACTTGGGAGCATCAGAAATTTAGAATTCTCATTGGTTTCCTAGTCATGTCCTCAGGAGGCCAGGAACCAGGAAAAGGTGGACTTGCTGAGGTAGTTTCAATCTTACAATCTTGTAGCTTTAAGATTCTTCACTGACTATGCCTAAAATGAACTTCATGAGAACCTCACCAAGGGAGAAAGGACTTCCAGCATGTAGGAGATGTGAATTATTGCTTTATCGCCGCATTTTCTAACCTTGAACCCACTTTTCCCTGGACTCTGTATCTATTTGTGGAAAAAACCTAGGGGACCTAGGGGAACTAGGTGTTGTTTTTCCTTTTTTTGAGAGGGGGATATTTTGTTCTTATTGTTCTTATTCTACTACCTTACTAAATAACCATTTCTAAAAGCAAATCTTTTATATTCTTGGGGAAACAAAATTAAAGGATGAGAGGTACAGAATCAAATCATGAAAAGTGCAGTATAGGACTGTCAGAGCAAAGAGTTAGAAAGATTAATGAATCTACAGAACTATTCACGAAATTAATGGATACATTCAAGGATGAATCATACAGGCTTATTAAGGTCCTCCAGAGAACTTGCAGGAAGAAAAAAAATATCAAGGCTAATGGATTATTTAAAGTTACAAAAGCAAGTATAAAATATTTTTCATTGTTCCCCCTAGGGATATCAAAGTTTCCCATAGTTTCTTCAGATGAACAATATTAGTCTAACCACAGGCCTTTGCAGCAATGTAGTAATATAACTCTAGAAGCACAATAGATACCTAGGATACAGATCCCATATCGTAATAACTGTGTATATTCTTTAAATAGAAACTGAGAATCCTAGAATTCTAGAATGTCAGAGTGGAAAGTGGTCATCTATTTCAATTTTCTCATTCCACAGATGAAGAAAGTAATTCCCAGAAAAATGAAGTGAATGGTTGAAGGTCACATAGTTAGGTAATGGTCAGTGTGGTAGTAGAGCTCAGACTTCCTGGCTCCTAGCCTAGTACTATCTCTTTTGAGGAGTGAATAGTAGGTATGGGGTAGGAGAGCAATGCTGTCATTTCATCAGTATAGGAATTCCCTCTCTCAGTGCTAAATGACAACTGTTTTGTAACTTACAGTCCTAGAGAATTACCTAGATAATAATCTGAGAGGTTAAGAGACTTGTCCAGGATCACACAGCCAGCATGTGTCAGAGGAAGGATTTCAACTCAGGTTTTCTAGACTCTGATGTCAGTTCAATATCCATTATGCCAAACTCTCTCTTATAGTGCCCTAAATTCCCAATGACTATTCCTCTACATACCCAGGAGAACCCCTACCCTTGCCCTACTACCTTTATAACAAAAAGGTTACTGTTTATTTTATAAAGGAGTAGATGAATTTAAATTCTTCCTCTTTCAATCACATAGAAATATCAAAGTGGCAAGAACAGAAAACACTTGCAGAGTTGGCAGGAAGCAAAAGAGTGTATTCTTTCTCTTTCCTGTTATCTGTCATCGCACATCCTATATCTCACTCATTCCTTACTTCTCTCATTGACTTCTTTCATCTTGAATTCTTTTTAAAAAATCAGAAATACAATTTAAAGAATATCAGAATTTTCCCTTCTGGGTTGTTTCTGCTTGTCAAAGGAAAATATAATGGTTTGTCTTAAGCAAGGCTGTAGGTGGGGATTCTAGAGAATAGGATCAGTTGGAGACAATAGGAAATGACTCATGTTAAGAAGAGAGAAGGAAAAAAACAAACCCAAACTCATAAACCCCATGAATCCTCAGTAGTGCCTGTACCTTGCTGCAGGGGGCGATCCAATAGGCTATGGCAAGGAATGGAAGGCCAATGGAGATCCCAAAGACAGCCAGGAACTTCACCGCTATGGACTGCTGTCGTAAGCCTGAGAGGTTTTCATACCACATGGTAAGCAGCTGCTGCTGGCAGTTAGGGTGAGCAACAAACTGTGGGGGAAACAACAACAAAAGAAGAGAACACAAACAGGAAACTGGAATTGGTAGCTACCAAACAGCTTCAAATCCACAAGTTTTTTGACATCTAGGTAACATTCACCAATTGGTATTCAAGTAGAGATCAGATTTGCTAAAGGAGGGGCTTCCACACTGGATGGAAGGTCAGATTAAGGATCTTCCACTAATTTTCTTGTAACTTTGAGATCTTGTGACTCTGTGAGTCTTGACCAAAAAAAAAAAGCTCTGAAAGTCAATTTCATTGAGAGTGTGTGTGTGTGTGTGTGTGTGTGTGTGTGTATTCCCATCAGGTACAGCTGCTCAGTTCCCAGGAGAGTTCTTTGTCAAGGGGTTGGTTAAGAGTGGAAGGAGTTTCTGAGCAACGTCAGGTGGTGTAGTTAGTGCTAGATTTTGAGTAAGATGACTGGGTTCAAAGTATGGCTCTTCTATTTACTACTTGTATGACCTTGGACAAATCACTTAACCTCTTTGGACTTTTGCTTTCTCAACTATAAATTGAGGAGGTTGGACTAGACAATTTCAGAAGTCCCTTCCAGCTCTAATTCTATGGCCCTGTGGTCAAGTCCAATTCCCTACTTCTTCAGGTGAGTACACTTCAGCTAAAGTGACTTGCCTACAGCAAGTGACAGAGCCAGCTTTTGAATCTAGGTACCCCAGTTCCAAATCTAGCAGCACTCTTTTCACTGCACTGAGCTGTGTCTGAATACTCACAATTCTTCAAATGCTCTAATTTTAACAACTCAGAATGCTCTAAATCAGTATTCTGCAAATCCAAAGTGGGGAGGTTTAGGGAAGACTCCCGGGATGAGATAGTGTATAATTTGATCTTGAAAGGCTAGGTTGGAATTCCACAGGTCAGGGAAGGTGCATGCTGTGAGCACTACATGTACAAGGACAACGAGTGGTCCAATTTGTCTGAATCTCAGAGGCCATGAAAGGAAGGAAGCGCAGGGAGATAGATCTGCCACAAGAATAAAGACAGAGGCTTACATTTCAGTGATACTTTTGTTTCTTTGTTTTACAGAGGACTTTCCTCATAATCACTCTGAAGTTGAGAGTATAATAATAATTATTATGATAATAATAATTATTATTATTTTGTGAGGTAATTGGGGTTCAAAAATGATGGGGCTGTTAAAAGGAAAAAAACCATGTCTTTGGGACCTGTACCCCAAAGCCCCTGCACCCAGATCTCTGGCTTTCTCCTGAGGCACCCAGTCCATCCCAGTCAATAATCCTTTCAACTGTCCTTTCATTGTGGCCCCAGACCTAGTCTAACCCTTCATTCTCTGTTACCTCTGGACTACCCCAGGCTATTTGCTTTAATCTCATCCAGACCTTTCCACAGACTTTCCGTATAAAAATATCAATCTTATCCTGATCAAATGCACAGATTCCTTAAGAATCTTGCCCACTTCCATTGGCAATACAATAAACATTGTCTCTGACTGAAAGAAGGCTTGAATGGTTGAATTCTTTCTGTAGACCTGTACCCTTGCATTTTGGGGTTCTCAGCACCTCTTGACAGCAACAAAGTGACTTGCCCAGGGTCACACAGCTAGTAAGTGTCAAGGTTGGATTTGAACTCTGGTCTTCCTGACTCCAGGGCCATTGTTATCTTCACTGCGCCATTTAGCTGCCCCTGGATGTAATTATTATTAACTAATTTTATAGGTTAAGGACCTAAAGGAAGTGGCTTGCCCTAGATTACAAAGTCAGGACTCAAATTCCCATGCCTATTCTCTTTCTACTCCACAACACTGTCTCCTTGGGAAGGCAACATTTCTGTTTGAACAACATTTGTTTGTGAGAATTAAGTTCTTCCCAAATGAAGTACTTGATGAAACTCATTGGTTTGTCTGATGTTTGCCAGAGTTAGATGTGCATTCTGTTTTTTGAATGATTGACTTTTTGAAAGGCCATCCTGAAGTACAATGTATCTGTTTTTATTGTGTTTGCCTCATTGTATATTAATGAGACATTTAGTGACCCCTGAAGAATGCTAAATATTCTTTTTCATTGTAAAAACCCTATAGCAGGTCTTTATTTCCTCTCTTGGGGAGAACATTGGAGGCTTATTTGGCTTTTTGCACTGATTAGGAATTGACATTAGTAAGAAGTGATGCACTAGAATGCTTTTTACTACCTGAGTGACCTTAGAAAAGTCATTTTTTCTCTCTTGGCCTATTTTCTTATTGGTAAAACCAGAATTTCTTTCCTAGACGGGAAATTAGAGACCATTTTAGTAAGTTTACATAGTTAGTAAATAAATACTGGAATTCAAACCTGTGTCCTGTCACTGCATCAGGAAATTAGACTTTAAGGAGGTAATGTCTAAGGTTCCTTCTACTCTAGTTCCTGTGATCTCAAAGGCAGAACAGACCCTGAAGGCATTATATGTCAATCAAAATGCTATAAGTCATTCAACAGATGAAATGAGGATTAAGCAGAGGGAAATAGATCTGCCACAAAAATAAGGATGGAGGCTTACATTTTAGTGATACTTTTGTGTCTCTGTTTTACAGAGGACTTTCTTCATAACCACTCTGAAGTAGAGTGCAATAATAATAATAGTAATAATAACAATGACTCTTATTATTATTAATTTTTTTTTGGTGAGGCAATTGGGGTTAAGTGACTTGCCCATACTAGTAACAAAAACTACTTATAAGTTTTTTTTTACTTTGTTAATTTATTTATTTTTAGTTTTAAACATTTACTTCCACAAGATTTTGAGTTCCAAATTTTCTCCCCATCTCGTCCCTCCCCCCACCTCAAAATGGCAGGTGTTCTGAATACACCTTCCCCTAATCTGCCCTCTCTTCTATCTCCCTGTCCCCTACTTCTCTTATCCCCTTTCCCTTCAATTTTCCTGTAGGGCAGGATAGATTTCTATACCCCATTTCCTACATATCTTATTTCCCAGTTGCATGTGAAAACAATTTTTTTTACCACTTGTTTTTAAAACTTTAGGTTCCAAATTTTCTCCCTTCCTTGCTCCCCACCCACCCTCATTGAGAAGGCAAGCAACTTGATACAGGTTATACATGTGTAGTCATGCAGAACACTTCCATAGTAGTCATGTCGTGAAAAACTAAGTATATTTCCCTTAATCCTATCCCACCCCCCATTGATTCCATTCTCTCTTTTGATCCTGTACCTCCTTGGAAGTGTTTACTTCTGATTACCCCCTCCTCCAATCTGCCCTCCCCTCTATCATCTCCTTGCTCTCTTGTCCCCTCCCTCCCCATTTTCCTACAGGGCAAAACAGATTTACATACCCAATTGAGTATGTATGTTATTCCCTCCTTAAGCCAAATCCAATGACAATAAGATTCATTCATTCCCTCTCACCTTCCCCCATTTCCCCTCCACTGTAAAAGTCTTTTCTTGTCTGTTTCACGTGAGATAATTTAACCCATTCTACTTTTCTCCTTCTCCCAGTATAATCCTCTCTCACCCCTTAATTTTATTTTCCAGATATCATCCCTTCATCTTCAACTCACCCTGTGCCTTCTATCTATCTATCTATCTATCTATCTATCTATCTATCTATCTATCTATCTATCT